CCCCCCGCCCCAGCTCCCAGTCCCTCCCCCGGCGGGCCCCTACTCCGGCCCCTTCCGGAAGCGCTCGTGGAGCGGCCCCGCATGGAGCTGGAGCCGAGCGCCTCCCAGGCACCCCGAGGCGCGGCCGCTCTCTTCGCCTGGGTACGTGACTCCGCCCCCCGGCCGGGGCCGCTGGGACTGAGGGTCGCCCCGATGCTGGGAGCTCCGGGCCTCGGCGTGGGCGGTCCTGGGCTGCGCAGCCGAGGTCCAAGCCCAGCGCCAGCTCTGGGTTGGAGAATCCTGGGCTGGGGTCGGAAGTGGAGAGGGCCGGGAGGAGAGGGTCTTCATTGGGTGACTTAGGGGGCCTGCTGGCTGGGGGGGTCTGCACCGGAGGGGCTGCGGCGCAGTGGGAAGGACCTCTCTGCAGGGCAGAGCGTCTGGTTCCGCGAGAGCATCGGGAAAGACACCGTGGAGGGCTCTGAAGACAGGATCGCCCCGTCGGGCCAGCTGTGCTCCCCACGCTCCCATTGCCTGGAGGGTGGAGGGAGGCCTTTCTCCAGCCCTACCCCAGCCTGGCGGGCGCGTCATTTGATGTGAGGCCTGCGGTGTTTGGCGGTGAACCAGGCGGAGACCCTGCACAGTTACTGATATTCTGCTGTGACCGGATCTCGCCCGCATGGAGGCGTGGGAGTCTGCGCTGGTGTTGGCTTGACGGGAGCCCTGCGAGACAGTCATCTTTTTGTGTCGTGGCTGGGAGAGAGGAGGGTGTGTGTGGCAGGCACCGACCCGATGCACGGGAACAAGCAGACGTGGTGTCTTGTAGTTCTTCATAGCCCGTATCCCAACTGTAATGAAATGTATAATTTGTTAATGTCCGTCTCCTTGGCTAGAATGTAAGCGCTACAAGGGTGGGTTGGGTACCGTGCCTGTTGTTCACGGAGCCTGGCTTGTGCCTAGCGTGTTGTAAGGTGCTCAGTAAATATTTGTTGACTAATGAATGAATGAGTACCTGTTGTGCGACAGCTGTGTGCTGGTCTTTTGATAAAAACACCAGAGTGGAAGACTTCCAACTCTAGTATTGGATGGGGGGAAAAGGAGAGAAATACCTATATTGCTGTTACACCAGTATGTATGAACTAGTTTACAGAAACAGTCATTATCAGGATGAGGGAGCACTTGTATGCAAGACTGCAGACTGGCAGGAGGGAGAAGGTGGTGTGGCCTGAGGTAGTCTGGCTGCCTGAGTGTCTTTGAGCTGGGGGTGGTGTTGGGGATTGAATGTTTGCCTGGCCTGGGTGCTGTGTCTGGCTTTTTTCCCTGGCAAGAGACTGGTCTGCGTGGACAGAGAAAACATCTGACAGAGAAAGCCATTCAGATAGGGCCTTGTCTGTACTGAAACAAAAAGGTTGTCGAATCTAACCCCACTGCTGTGCTTGGAGGCCTGATGGTGTGTTTTTCCGGCTGCGTTAATCTGTGTGGAGGGGTGTATTAATGTGCTCAAAACAAAATACCACAGACTGGGGTGGGGGTGGGGGGATTGAACAATGGAATTTTATTTTCTCACAGTTCTGGAGGTCAGAAGCCCAGGATCAAGGTGTCAGCAGGTTTAGTTTCTTCTGAGACCTCTCCCTTTGGTTTGCAGATGGCTGCCCTCTTGCTGTGTCCTCACACGGCTTTCTCTCGGTGCGACAGCATCCCTGTGTTTCTTATAGGGACACCAGTCATGGTGAAATTAGGGCCACATCTTTATGACCTCATTTAATCTTAATTACCTTTTTAAAGGTCCTGTCTTCAGACACAGTCACATTCTGAGGTACTGGAGGTTAGGGTTTCAATAAATGAATTTTAGGGGAACACAATTCAATCCATAACAAGGGGATATACTTCCTTGGAGTTGTGTGTGTGTGTGTGTGTGTGTGTGTGTGTGTGTGTGTGTGTGTGTGTGGTGTAAGGAAGGGAGGCAAATACAGCTGTAATAAGTTGTATTAAAATTTCCTTTTGTTTTGCTTTATCATAGGTGTAGGGCCTCTTGCTGCATTATAAAAATTTGGTACCGTAACTTGAATTCCATAATGACAGTATCTGACTTTCTGTTCAGCAACCTGTAGCCTTGGTAATGGGGAAGCCACTGAGAACTCAGGGTTGATAGAGAAATCCTGTGCATTGCCCTCCACTTCACAGAGGTGCTTTTCATTTGGTCTTTCCTAGGTGGGAACTCACAGGGTTTTATATTCATTCATTATAAAATATATGCACACTTTCTCTGGGCTGGCACAGCTTCAGATGCAGGAGAATAGCAGTGAGCAAAACAAAGTTCCTGCCTCATGGAGTTTACTTTTTAGGAGCTAGACAGTAAACAAGTACACATATATAATGCAATGTCAGGGAATGCTATGAAGAAAAATAAGGCAGAAAAATGGTGATAAAGTGACAGGGGTGCTATTTTAGGTAGGGTCGTACAGTTAGCCTCCTGCTGGATGAGCTCTGGGCTGGTTCACCATATATCCTTTTTTTCTTTATTTTTAGAGACACAGTATTGTATAATGAAAGGAGTGGGCATCCAACTTATTGCCTACTCAGCTGTGTGACTATGGAAAGTTACTTAACCTGTCTGAGCCTTAGTTTCTTCATCTGTACAATGAGAGCGACAGTCCATCTGCTCTGTTGTGAGAATTAAAGGTGAATGCCCAGCACACGGAGAAACACTCAGTGATTGGTAACTTATGTTGCCCCTTTGGACCTCTGAGGCCTGTGTCCCTGCCATTCTCTTCCAGCTTGGAGTCCTTGCAGCCCAGGATGGCTGTAGAATAGACTACAAGGGCAGGAGTTTGTTTTTTTTTTAAAGATTTTTATTGGGGAATTGGGATGGGAACAGTGCTGGGGAATCAGGGGAAGGGGAATAGACAAGTTGCTGTCCTTTTGTTCTTCAGTCTAGTTGTGGAGGACATTGCTTCACAGGCCCAAGTTGGCACCGTCATTGCGCTCTTCCCAGGCGAGGCAGATCAGTCGCTGGCTTCTGGACGGCCGCTCACTGCAGCTGCTAGCCGCTCACGCTGGCTGCTGGCTACACACGGTAGCCCATGGCAACCCACTGCCATAGGGGCTGCAGCCTACACTGTCGCAGGCGACCCACGGCAGCCCAGCTCCAGGTTGAGCTGTTGTTCAGCATCTTAGCTGTGGAGGGCGGTGTCACTGGCCCTCATATGTGGGATCCGAACC